AAAAAAAATCAGCCCTTACCAATAGTTGGAATAGTTGTTACAACTTCTCCAAGTTTGAGTTTATACAGGATTGTGGTTTTGCCTGCCGCATCAAGTCCCACCATTAGAATTCGCATTTCCTTCTTCAAAAAACCAAATAAACTCAGTAAAGATCCCATGCTGTCTTCACTTGACTGATCAGTTCTAAAAAAAGGAAAACATCTTAATGTCATACAAGCGTGATTAACTTAATTTAGATTTTTGTAGTAGTAACAATCAAGACTGATGAGGGCAGAGCAGTGGACGTGATCTGTATGGACTTCAATAAGACATCTAACAAGGTTCCTCATGGTAGACTGGTTAGCAAGATTAGATCTCACGGAATACAGGGTGCACTAGCTATTTGGATACAGAACTGGCTCGGAGGTAGAGGGATATGGGCCAAATGCTGGCAAATGGGACTAGATTTATTTAGGATATCTGGTCAGCAGGAACAAGTTGGGCCGAAGGGTCTGTTTCTGCGCTGTTTATCTCTACGACGCGAAGTGTGGATTGGGGCTATTACATTCCTTCCAGATGCACGACCACTACAAACATGCACCCAGTTGTGCTACATTGCATATGGCAGGGTAAAAGCTTAAAAAGGTATAGTCCACTTAGTTTTTCAAGCCCACTTAATCATTCAAAGAGATCATGGCTGACCATTTACTTCAGTGCCATTTCACTGCGCCATCTCAACTGAACATAGATAAGTGACTCTGCAGACTGCAGAAGCTCAAGATTCTGCACTCAGTGGGGAATAAACCTCATTTCAATCTTAAGTGATCAGCGCCTTATTCTGAGATCACTTTCTAGCCCGAGAACCACACTCCCTCCTCTCACCTGCACCCCCCCCACCAACAGCCATAGGAAATGTATTTGCCAAATCTCTATTGATCCTGTAAGAAGTTGAAATGTTTGATCGACATCATCTCATTTAGTCTTTGCTCACAGGACAGTCCTGGCATCTAAATTAACTATATGAAACCTTGTTGCACTTCAAGTATATCTTTCTGCTTCTAGTGAGGAGAAAACTGCACATAATACTTCAAGCGGTCTCACCAAAGCTCTGTATAATGCCATAAGACATATTTACTTCTCTAATCCTCTTGTAATCAAGGCTATTACACGACTTGCTTGCTGAATCTGCATGTTAACTTCTAGTGGCTCAAAACAAAGACACCAAGCCCCTCACCGTTTAAGAAACTCTTGCTATAAAAGTGCATAACCTCATTTCTCTACATTGGATTTCATCTACTAAATAAAAAAAACTTGGCTCACCTACTTAAAGCCAAATCCCCTTAAGCATCTCTGTATCCTTAGCTCTCATTCTTAGCCAACCGTATCATCTGCAAACCTGGAATTAATACATTTAATCTTCACATCCAAATCATTAATACTGATTGTTAATGTTCAGTCCCAAGCACTTGTCCTTCCAGAGCCCATTAGTCAGAATACCAACCTGAAAATGTCCACTTACAACTGTCCTTCAACAAATACACACATAGTTCCTTCATTCCCATGTGCTCCAACTTGGTTAGTGGTAATGTTCCATTCAATTAGTAAGTGTTCTAAAAATCTAAATATACCACCTCCATCGGTTCCCCTTGTTTTTTGCTAGTTAAATCATCAGTCTCCAAATAGGGAATTAATGTTTGATAAATTTTTCTGAAGTTCATTTCAATAGTGCCCAACCCCACTATTGTTTTAACTGCACTATTATCACATCCTTTATTATAGATTTTAATATCTTGAGAAACACTGAAGTCAGGCTAAATGGGGTCTGTAGTTTGCAGTTTGCTCTCCCTCTTAAATAGGGAGGTTATATTTACCACCTCCTAATTGGCAGGGAGGACTCAAGACTAAAGTTTTTAAAGATGACGACAAATGCATTTAGAATCTTTATAGCCACCTCTTATCAAAGTCCCATTAGTTTCTCTAGCACTTTTGGTCAAAAATATAATATCTTACAATTTATTATGATCAGTCCCTGAACTCTCCATTTTCAGTTTTTAAGAAAGTCTTCTGAAGAGAAGAATAAAGTATTTCATTCCTCTGCCGCTTACACCTCATTATAAATTCTGCCGACTCTGCTTGTAATACACCAACGTTTTGCTTATTGCTTCCATTTTACATTCCTGTAGAGGCTTTTATCTTCTTGCTAGCTTGCTCATTCTATTTTCCTTTTCTTGTGAAAAAGTACACAGCAACATATACCAGACAAACTGGAGGGCACCAGAAGTACTAATGAGCAAAGGAAAAGGAGAATGAAGTGAGTGAAAGCATAAACAAAGGTCAAATTTCTGTAGCATGTGGAGCAAGTCCAAGTCATGTGGACTTGTACAAGACAGGCAGGTTGCATAAAAACAGGTCCAGGTCCAACATCCTCAAAGATTTGCAGATGATGCTGGGGAGGGTTTAAACTAGACTGTAGGATAATAGGAACCCCAAAGAGAATGCAGATTAGAGAGGAGCAAAAATTGCAACACAAGGTAGGAAAGCAGCAAGTAAAGTTAGAAGGCAAGAATCAGAATGTAGAAAAATGTTAGATATAAAATTAAGGTGACTACCTTAATGTATTCAGCATTCACAAGGGCAATTGAAGACACGGATGTAAAAATGTACAAATTTAATTGACTTTACAGGGACACTGTTACTTGGAGACTAGGACTTGAAATTGAGTATTCAACAGTGATATTCTTCTTTAAGAATGATAGATGGAAGGGAGAGGTGTTGGTAGCACTGCTAATGAGGGGCAACACCAGTAAATTAGAGGGTCTTAGATTGAAGGATCAAGCAGAATCACTACAATGGAGCCAAGAAACAGCATGGGGCAAATGAACAGGAGTTATTAATTGGTTTCCATGTTACATTAGTAATTAGGCCCCAAATAAAATCAGGACATTACATGGTTAACAGTATGGAATGAGCTGCCAGAGGAAGTGGTGGAGGCTGGTAAAATTACAACATTTAAAAGACACAGATGGGTGTATGAATAGGAAGGGTTTAGAGGGATATGGGCCAAATGGGACTAGTTTTATTCATGATATCTGGTCAGCATGGACGGGTTGGATTGAAGGATCTGTTTCAGTGCTGTATATCTCGGATATCAAGATTCCCTAAACCTAATTAACACTAACGTGAGGGAGAGGGGGAGGGAGTCCAAAATGGATTTCTGGGGCAGTCAATGGAGGAACTAAATTAAATTACTTTAGTATTATGTAATGAGAATGCTAGTTTAAAAACCCTGCTGCAAAAGGAGCCACTCCAATAGTGAGCATAATAGAATTTCATTAAAAAAAGTTTAAAGTGATAGATGTTCATTCTGAAACTGGAGTCCTAAATCTTAACAAAAGGAAACTATGAAGATTTGAAAGACATTTGTCTATAATAGGTTGGGAAAATACAAAATGATTTGATGGTAGACAAGCAATGGCTAGTACTTAAATTTATTACATGGTCCACAACAAATGCATATTTCCCCCCAGGCACAAAAATTCAAATGAAAAGGTTCGCCAACCAGTTCTAAAGAAGTGTGGTTAAATATTGCATTAAATTAAATGAAAAGGCTTATAGGCTTTGAGTTTAGGGAGCAATTTAAAAACAAAAAGGAATGAAAAACTTAAAGGCAGAGAGAATATCAATGGAAGCTAATGGTAACCGTAAAGGCAGACTGCAAAAACTTTTTGATGTGCAGAAGTAAAAGATTAGCAATGATGAATGTGGGTCCATTACAGGTCAAGACAGGACAATTTTTACTGGAGAATTGGGATGTGGTGAAAAAAACTAAACAATTACTTTATGTCACAAACAGAAATTGCTGGAGAAATGAGCAGCATCTGGAGAGAGAAATCAAAGTCAAATGTTTGGGTCCATTGACCCTGCATCATTACTTCTTAAAAGATACAGAAAATCTCCAAAAAACAACCAACTAGGGACCTAAGGGATTTGCAAAAATGAGGAACTGAAATAAATAGTCTGGAGAGATACAGCACTCAAAAGAAGAAAAAAAATTGAAAGACAACCACCATTAAATCCACTATTTCTATAACCACAGTCTTCCTGAACTCACTGGAATGTAGGTCATCTGGTCCAGGGTAGTTATCAACTTTCATGCCAATTAATTTTTGATTCTGGGAAGCAGTAAGCTTAACCTTACTTTCAAGGATGAGGAAAGAAAAATTGAAGTACCCGTTCATTTGACATCAGTAGTCAGGAAAAATGTTATGACAAGTGCAATAACCAGAATTTAAGCAAGGCTGTGTTTGACAAATCTGTTGGAATTTGAAGATGTTGCTCAAACCAGTGAGCCACTGGATTTGGTGCATTTTGGATTTTTTGTAGGCTTTCAATAAGATTGCACTGTTTCATAAATAAAATTAGAGTATCGGGATTGGAAGCAATATACCATTCCTATACATAGGAACAGCAGGAATAAACAGGTCACTCAATTGTAAGCTGTTACTACTGGGATACTGCAAGTGTTTGGACCACAGCTGTTCACAATCTACATAAATCATTTGTCATTTGTTTGTGGTGACCAAAGATAACATCTCCAAAGATAACTTGCTTATGACAAAATTAGCTGAAAGTACAAGCTTTGAGGAGAATGCATGCAGGAATCAAGGGGGTTCAGACAGGTAAGAACATGGCAAATGGAATATAATGTCAATAGTGAGAGGTTATCCTCTTAGGTAGCAAAAGCGAAAGTTAGGATATTTCTTAAGTGTTCAGACATTGGGCAATATTGATACTCGGAGCTGGGTGTTCTTCAGCATTAATCAAAACTGAAGTGCAGGTAACAAATGCAGCTACTAAAAAAAATATCAGCTTGTGTTGAAAGGTTATTCTGGAGTACAGGAGTAAACATGCCCTGCTGCAATACTTTAGAACTCTGGTTAGACTGCACCAGGAATATTGTTTGCAGTTTTGTTCTCCTTAATTGAAGGAGAAATGTACTAACCATAGCAGATTGCAACAGAAGTTCACCAGAAGAATCATGAAGATGATGAAATTGAGCAGACATTGAAGAAATTGGGCTTGGATTCTCATGGTTTGATCAATGACAGAAGATCTATTTGAAACTTACAGCATTCTTACATGGTGTGACAAGGTAAGTGTGGATAGGATGTTTCCCCTGTCTGAGGAGTCTGGACCCAAAGGAC